CTGTGATGACATGGCTTTTAAAAGTCTGAGCTACACCGCTAAGACATAAGGAGTCATAAARAAMCAAAAYACTGACATGRGAAATAAAAATTAAGAGTGGGWGGAATGSATTAAACCACTGAAGAATGGTGACAGACTGGTTGAAAACAGGATGGAGATTGGGGCAGAAGAACAGTAAAGGTGGGGCTGTATTAGTCATACGTCTATAACTCTACTCACTTCACTAGAAATACCAAAAAACTTGCCCATAACACACCAAAAAATCAAAACCACAGCGGCTTCAGAGCCTACACAGTTCTCAGCAGAAGAGCTGAGAAATTCAGGTCGAKGGTGGAATGAGAGGGAGGAGAGCTAATGAGACATCCAGCCCATAGAGAATTTCACTGAACCCTAACCTGTATCTGCCCAGGGGTCATAACGTCTATGTGATTATTTCAGAGTCTATTTTGAAAACAAACCAATACATTAAAATCTTCTTATYCAAAGAAATGTTAGCAAATACTCAAAATATTAGAAATAGTGCATTTAAGGTGGAGAGGGTATATAAGCTGGGTGTGTCAACTAGCATGGGATGTTTTTTGGAAGCACAGGGCCAGATTTTGTCATCATTGCTGAGTAAGGTGGGAAAGGACTTTATTCTTCACCCACAAATATAATGCCACACTCTCAAAGAGGAGTTGCCTGGGCTAATGAGCAATCATTACTGTGACTTTCATATTGATCATTCCAAACATGTGCAGTAAAATGATTATTATGATTATTAACCAAACAGAAAATTTATCTCGTTAAGTTGTATGCACAAATGTCATGAGCTGCCAGAGCCATGCCCATTAGTGACTGCAATGATTTGCATTTCCAGAGCCTGTAAAGCTGCAGGCTGAATGGAAAAACTTTTAGTACAGACATAATTTGGTATCGATTACACTTTATGTGACTACAGCAGTGGTCACATTACTGAGGACTGTCATCTTTTGCTACTTGACCTGGCACTTCCATTTTCTTACCCAGGGAATTTGCTTCAAGTGTATTAATTATAGAAGTCAGACACAGTAGATAATAAATACTAAAGGAAATTCTCAGCTCCCTCAAAGGAGAAAGGAAAAAATGTAAGKTTTTTTTTTCTTTCATTTAATGCCAATTAGTAAAGCACGGCTGAGATTAAGCATAGAATTGAAACACAATTAAGCATTGCTACAATAAATTACTATAATGGTTATTATTTACAACTTGGCTGTTGCTAATAACCAGTGAGAATGATGCTCATTATAACAGATAATGTATAATTAGCTAATACTAGATATCTGATGTTCTAAATGGCTGTCATAGATCTCTTCTTAAAAGGCTGTCACTATATTTTAAAATAATTTAAAAATAATAAAATAYTATTGCAAGAAAGCCCAGCATAATGAGTAAGAGAAAAGAACAGGTTCCGAAAAACAGATGAGACATTGCTTGGTAAGTTGACCTTTTAAAAATACCCACTCCTTCACTGATCTTCTAAATGAAAAGCAGGATTGTTTTTAATTCCAGCTAATGAGAGCGGATATAAGTCATCATAATTAAAAGTCACTCACATTTCAGCCAGCTACAGTTTTGCTATTATAACATAGAATAACACTTGAGTTAAAGTTGCATGACAAATACCATTCTGCTCCCTTACATTTCAAATCCTTAGTTCTGAAATTTTTCAATTGTGACRTAAGTTTTTTCCCACAAGACAAAGACCTAATTCTTCAAGGAATATTATAAAGGGACAGAAGAATAAATTTCTGTTCAAAAGATCGATCCTAACTACAAAAAAGTTTAGGCGCAGAATCACCAAAAARATGATGTTCTCTTTTGAGAGGAGAAATAAACTTTTTCCACAATATTTTTCCTTTTCTAAATACTTTTAGCCATGGAAAACAGCAGCAGACTGAAAGATGGAATTTGACATAAAAATAACCCTCACTAAAAAAAAATGCCAATTATCGCTTTATCAAAAATGGTTTTAGAACAGTTTTGCATCTGTGAACATGGCTGAACTGGTTTTTTTTCTAAGATTTTGAACAGCACATCTAAGGAGGACTGCTCTGATCATCTGTGTGTTGCTAACTCCACAGTGGGAAGGAGCCCAAAGCCACAACAGATCAGCTGCACTGGCTGCTGTGCAAAGTTGCTCTTTCCTTAAAMAAAACCAACAACACTATTTGCAACYCTTATGGAGAAAAGRTTGGTGAATGAGAMTAATAATACATTTACCTTTGCATTTTCTCCTGGTTGCTTTCAGCAGTTCTGGAGCTGGCCATGTTTATTTCTTACCCAATTGTTTTCTATTCCTTTTGCTAGGCATCAGTGGTACTCTTTTAAAGGTACTGTCTGAATGCAAGCAAAGCACAATGACCCAAAGTAATGGTATATGATGGGCTCAGGTGGAGTATCTCTTCCTGCACTGAAAAATACCTTCATCCAAATACTCCTGAGCAGGGTCTTASACAATTTGGATCTTTCTGCCAGTGCTATAAGTCACAGCACATGCAATATGTTGGGAGAATGGTAGCTGAGGTTGGTGTTAGCAGAGCTGAGTTGCAACTTGCAAGCTCTTCTAGGGAAATCCTGTTTCTAACTTTCATTAGATTAAATTCAAAATCCTAAAATGGTTTTGAACAAGCTGAGGTTCTCCACATTTACACAGCACATATTTTGTGGGACTAAAAATGACAGGCATCTGCTTTGGTGAAGTTGGATGTACAAGAAGAGTATGATGACACAACGTGCTTTCTTTCTTTTTTTCAGAAATGCAGGCTTTCTACTGAAGACAAATTGTTAAAATCTAAAGGAAGGGCAGCTCTCTTTCTTGGTATAAAACCAGGTATGATTGAGAACTAAGGCTTGGTTTCATTTCACAGTCTAATATAAAAGTTCATTAGCTCAGAGATCTTCAACTGTCCCAAAGAGAGGCAGTTTATAGGGCCCTGCTTCSTTACACCTGTGTTTTCAGAACCACAGAATGGAATTTCTCTTTCAATCTCTACAGCAAGGATGGAGGAAAGGTTATTATCATGTTGCTAAGGGAAATGCACCATCCCATCATCACAAGCCAATATTATTGACTGACAGTATTCAGAAAGGGTTATGGCTTGTAAAACCAGTGACTCAAATTACAGCTGGAACAATTGTGCTCCCTCTTGGAGTGAGTCAAGGAGAAATATCAGAAACTGTTACATTTCACRTTATTTTTATTTCTACCAAACGCTGTAAGACACATATAACTTTTTCCTGGTCTGACCTCCATTTTACTTAAATTGCAAAGGAAAATGTTTCCTGGTTTGATAATTGACTGAAAATGAAAGATTAAGTAATGCTCTCTGCCCTATTYTTCAGTTTTTTGAACCATTTTCTAGGCTTTTAATATGAAAAACATCTTTATTGTTTTATTAGTACAACTATTCCACTTCAAGTAAGTAATTTACAGCCCATTTTGAGGTATATAAGCACCATTTCCTTCAAAAATAAAAGCACTTCAGTGTACTTGTCAGTSCCCCTGATGCAAACAGAGTAATGTTTGATTACCTCAGCATGAGAACTTATCATACTATTTTAAGTTAGATTTTCTTACCTCTTACACCTTTAATGTGAGCTGAGTAGCCCATCTCTTTGTATGTGTCATGTCTTAGTCGTTTTCCAGGCGTGGGGAGACTGAACTACTGAATCTGACTTAGAATGCTGAGCAAACTTCAGTGTGCATTTAAAGTGGTGTTCCAAGGAAATAAAGATGTGCACCCTGGTATCTTGGAACAACACTGCTCAATTTCAGCCAAATCCGACTGAGAGGTGGGTCTTAGAAGTGTTAAATCCCAGAAGAGGAATGAGAATCAGTGACTAGCTGACCCACAGACATCTCATCTGTACCTCCACCGATGAAACCACTGAGCAAGCACAATCCTTAACCCATCTAATAGCAGGAATCAGCTGCATGGCTGTACAACCGTTACACAGACAGAAAATATGGGAAAAAGGAAAAAAAAAGGAGTTTCTTTTCAGGCCAGGTCTGAAGTACCCTGTTATTTTCTGTGTGGGAAGAACATCCAAGACAGACACACAGACACAAACTTTACATCACCAAACTTCATTAATTCYAATCACCCAGCTTTTATTTAGCATTATCACAAAGTGACTAAAAACAACCCAATCAACTGATTGTATACAAGCAAAATGAGGAAACTTACTTGGGAGAGTGAGTAGTTTAAAAGGGATATTCCTGTGAGTGCAACTTGGTCCATATTATGACACACAGTTCAGTCAATGGTGCTGAAAACCCAAGCTCCCAATTCCTTATCGAACAMCTGGCAAGGTGACCTCTTTCCTAAATGATGCAGCACTGCTCTGAGTACCTGGGTGGCCTCASGAGACCTCTTCCACAATTTGGGCTCTGCCTAAGGCTATTCTGTGTCCCAGGGATGGATACCATGGAATCAGATGAAAAGGGGACATATGGCAACTCACTCCTCACAGCTTCAACCTCATAAAGTTGTGGACATTGTCCCAACATTTATTATTAAGTAAAATGTCAGACCTGTGGCTTACATTGGATTTATGCCAAAACTGTTCTTTGACAGACCTTTACTGTAGGTAAACAGTAAAGCTTTTACCTTAGAGAAACTAATTATTGCTTCATTAAAATAAGTACTTGAAATCCAAAATAAAGAGAAATCTGTTGATGATACACACATACACAGGAATGCACCAATCCAAATGGGATTATGGATAAAAACACAGTCTTACAAATAACAGTTTACAGCTGCAGTCTGCTGGAAAAATATTCCTCTCAAAAYCAACAACATTGTATTCTAGGTATTGCTTGAAAATAGTGTGGTATATACACAGAACATCTGCTGATATCACAGTAATTTGAAGAAAAGGAAGAAGTAACAATAGCATTTCACAGTACACTAGATAGCATGATAAGAAAAATTAATAGATAGTTTTATGATTAGATTAAATTAATTAATTAACTGTACCTTGAAAAACAACGGCTCCTCAGGAAGGGGGCTAACGGGGAGGGAGGTTGTGCTACTAGCTGGACTCATGTCCGTACTCTGAAAGAAAAGCACACAGGAGTTTGCATTTCCAGTCAAGTTCTATGGACAACTTTTTACAATCTGGGGAGGGGGGAGAAAATCCAAAAGAATTAGACTGACAACTAGTGCAACCTGTATTTTATTTTCTTGTAATTAGTTCAAATATTTCACTAATGGGTAAATACTCTACATTTTCTTTATTTTGAATGAACTCCCCCAGTGCAGACTGAAACGCATGCACAAGTGCACAAACATACTGTTCAAATTTGTTCATATGGAAAAATTAATTCATTTAAAAAAAACCAACTATGATATAAAATTTAATTTTTTTGATCATCCAATAGTATATTTAGAAGGCAAAATTAATAGGAAAGCAATATACTATAGGAAAGTATTCAATTAATTGTTTTAAAAAAGACCAGATTCACATGAGTCAATATACCTTATAAAAAAAAACACTGATACATGAAAACAAACAGTGAAAACCAMATTATTGAAGTAAATAAGTCAGTATACTTCAACAGACCTATGAAATCATAATGCTTGAAAGACTGATCTAGAACCCCACCCTCTTCAGAAAATATTTCAGTAACCTGAAAGTTGGTAAGCATGGTCATTATTTTTACAAATGCGAGAGATATTAAAAAGTGTGAAAGCTCTTAATACTTGGAATGGCAATAAGAATATAAGAACAAAATACGTGTTAAAAAAAAATGTAAGTAATACTACAATTGTTCCAGAGGAAAGCAGAATATTCATACTTCTTGGAAAATAAGTCCTTAAGTGCTAAAATGAAAAAAATCCACCACCACCACCAATAAAACAGAAATGAAGAATATTTAAAGAATCAACAAGCTTGCATGGCCTAGTAGTGCATTCCTTTTTACAATGTAGCATTGCAATGCAAAATGATGTAATAAATTCAACTTGTGCACTTAACTAATCTGATACCTGTTTTTGCACCACTGTGAATCTACACTACATCCTTTGATAAACCCAAATTCTGCAAGTGAAGAACACTGCTCCACCCAGTTCATTCATCAGAAGATTTTTATGGAGAGACAATGAATTTAATTCAGCCAACTGATAGGGGATGAAAAAAGACAAAARTTTGGATACAAAATCCCCAACAAATCCAAAACAGGGCACAGAGACTTCAAAGTTAACACCAACTGAGAAAATTTGAGTTTAATTAGATACATATCAATTACACCACAGCTGAAGGAAAAGACAAGTTACTTGCTAAAAAAAAGGCATGCAAGTAAATGAGTAAGAAGGGGGCCATGGTAATTATACCCTGAGAGAGAGACAGGTAATTTATAATCCATGGAACACAGAGATGATGTTGAGGAATAAAGAGAGATTCCAGCATGTCAGAAAGCCAGTATCTTTGTAGAAGCCACTCTATTCAGAAACATTATAAATTTTAACTCAGACTCCTGCACCTGATCATCAAGAAAACTGGCCAATAAAAACTACAAAAGGTAGTGCAACTTAGTTGTTTTACTTTGAAAAAGCTTTGCAGACAAAACAGGACACCTCTGTGGGAATTTTCCGCCTCAAATGCCAGCAGCTCAGTTGAAGACAATTCACTTCTTAATTTACATAGAATAGAAAAAAACTAAGGGGTGGGGGGGAAAATCAAGTAGCTGCTTTCCAAACCAATTCAAATGCCCTAATTTGTAATTAGAAGTGCACAGGAAGGCAATCCCATCTTTAAAGATTGAAACAGCTTCACTACGAAAACCTGCAAAACAGATTGGTGCCTGCACACTGCATGAGTTGAGTTGTTCTGGAACAGCTGGAATCCAAGGAAGGTTTAACAGCCCTGAGGATGACGCTGCTGCTGCTATGACAAAACATCTCGGCACATCTCCAGAGTGGCCGCAGAAAAACAGCTGCTCTTCCCTGGTGGCTGGACAGGAGCCAGCGCAGGTCTGAGTGTCACATGGATGTGGCACCTGAGAGAGAAGCACTGTTGAGAGGAGGAGCTGCATTATAGAGGCACAATGACTACACTTTTGGACTGAAAACAGTTTGAGTCTGGCCAGACAGGAGCGCTGGCAGCAGAGCCTGTGTCTGCCCAGAGCTCTCCTCACACTCTCAGTGGCCCCTCCAACACCTTCRGTAATTTTCCTCTCTAAGGAATGCAGAGCAGTGTCTCTGCCTGTGTAAATTAATTAAACCCAGTGGCACTAACAGTTTGTTATAGTGCAGAATTGAGTGAGACAGTACCAAAAGGGCTGTTTCTCAAGCTATTAAAAAACCCAAACCCTTACAAAGTAATCACTGCTATGAAAGATGTTGTTAGCTTGCCCTCCTGAAGCGATACTCTAAGAATTTCAAACAMCACCAAACTCCCCACTTAAATTTACTCTCAGTGGTGTGTTTATCATAATCATGCTTTGCAATCTAAAGCTCCCCATACATATAAAAGAATATCACTGYGAGCAATTTACCCAACAGGGACCTTTTATTCAATGTTGTCTAAACCAATTGTGTTCTCATAAAAGCAGACACTCACTTTAAGTCCAGTATAAACTTTATAGGTTTTAGTTAATAAATTAACCAGAAGATGCCACACCATTAGGCCRTAATTATATCTTGTAAGTCATCACAAATGCTAAATAAACATAATTTGTATCTTAATTCTAAATACTAYACAAAATTAGGACATCTAATTTTGYAAMAYTTTGCTGTKCAACCATCAYTTTAATATGCACTTTTYAKGCAGAAAATGCACAGCTGGGTTTTGTTGACTGAGYCTCTTCCCTGTGTCACTGGAAACCTCTGAGTTTACTGGAGGGCAGAAAATTTGCACAGCGTTAATCACCTAAACTACATTTTTCAAAATATCTGAATACCAAGCAATTCAAGTATTTTTCAGAGCGACCATTTAGAAAAATACTATCTTGCCCCTGCAAAAAAAAAAAACCTGTAAGCATTTTTTTCAGTGCTTTTAAGGCTTTTTCTTTGTTTGTATTTTTTTTAGTTTGGAACAGGCTGCTAATGTTATTATTAGAATAATGATATTAGAATTTTGTCAATAATCCTTCCATGATGACATAGATCAATCCTCAAGTTTTATTTTCATTTCTAGATCAGTCTAGATAAACATCATCCTTATTGTACAGCTGAAGAGGTACCTTGGAGTCACTTCTAGGCCGTGCTAATCGTTTATCCTTGGCCAGCAATGGTAAAGCTGTGATTATCTATCTGCAAGTTTCTGAAGCAAAGGAAGAAAATAAGTCTAAGAGAACACACTTTTCCCATTTCTACRTCCATTTTGGAGCTCCAAGATCAGGATCCTGTTGGAGGACAGATCCCCACTATTAGAGTTAGATGAAAGTGAAAGCAGCTGTTTCAGAAGCTGTTTTGAAGTAGTTACAGGTTTCATTTCATTCTATTCCATTTGTGTCTACCTGCCTCAAAGCAGAATGTTTCACAAACCTCCAGAACAACGTAAACTGGCTAACAGCAGATTAGAGAATGCAGTCAGTGGCTCTCCAGCAACGCAGAAGATCAGCTATGTGCACATTATTAAAACCACACTCCTTTGAAAAGTACTCTCCCTTTTGAAGCCATCTTCCAGTCTTCCAATTCTTCTTTAAATGAAAGCAGATTCACTTCATAAATTCAGATTTTTCTCGCTACAAACCCTTGCCTTTAATCTGATGTTCTTTAGGAAGTGGCCTATCTATCAACCTTCGTTAATTGTGCCATAAAATAAGGACCCTCCACTGACAGAAGACAATTTAATTTGCTACAAGTGCTTTTCAACAGGGGTAAACACTGCAATGGTAGCTGACTGACTTCTCAGGAGATCAGTATCGCAATTTATTGATCTCAGAAGTTAATACTGACAGAAAAAACCTTCAGTGGATATTAGAGCTAGAGATCCAATAAATCTTTATAATAACTGAAGAAAAGACAATCTGTGTACTTTATAGCTTTTTCTAAGGGGTAGTGGATGAGTGCTGAACTGACTTTCAGAGTGATAGTTTTAGTTGCATCATAAGTTATGTCAGAAAATATAATTTTATACTCTTGAAGTTGCGTAGAGCTAGGAAATTAAATAAGTGCAGTCAGCAAGCTCGGTAGTGACATTTTGATATACTGAAGGTAAAGAAAGACCTGCAAATGGATTTATTAATGGGTCTGCATAGCATCTTTATGAAATGTTGTACTTAAATATTATTATCCATTTTATCCATGGAAGTGAAAAAGAAGGGAAAGTGAATTGCTCAAAGCTATGAAGAGAAGATAAAGACAGAACCAGACACCCCATTATTCATCCAGGGTGTGCAATACTTTCCTACACACTTTTGGAGTGCTTTGATATCYGTAATTTCTTTATTATTTAATGTCATGAAGAGGTTTTGCTCATACATTTACTTCCTACAAATAAGTTTTCCATAAACAACTGACACCAGAAAAATGAAAATTAGTTTTGCTAAAAAAAAAAACAGTGGACACACAATGCAAACTTTCACSTCCCACCCTGCATCATGTTTAAATAACATTCCCCAGCATCTCCAATCTTTCTCACCAAAAATGGATGGTCTCTTTGAAATATATTTTCTAATATCCATGAAACAATTCAGGTAGTTATTTATAAATCCATGTCATATCTCTTTCCTTAGTAGTTAAATATTACTGATTACTAATGCATGCAATTAACAGCTGAGACATTTAAGTATTATTTTCCAACATTTGCCTGGAGCTTGCTGCTCCTGTAGCTCAGAAGGATGCACAGGTCTCACATCTGACCTGAGTTTTTGTAGCTCCCGTGGCAGAGGTGAAATGTAAATTACAGCTGCCACTGTGTCTTGCTGCCTCTTTGGATGCTACACGAGGTACACACAGTTTTTTAGTGGTTCCATTAGTGACCTATTCTCAATCAGCAATTAGGATGCAGGCAYACAGATTAGTACAGATTCCTCTTCCAATCTAAGCAAAGTTAATCACCTGGGGATGCTGGGAAATGCCACTGGGAAATTTCGCCTCATAAAAGATGA